GAGGAGGAGGAGGAGGAGGCGAATCAGCCTGCTACCGCCGGCCACCGCCAGCCCCGCTGCTCTTCCCACCCCCTTCCCAGCCCCACAGTCCAGCGGTTGCAGCAGAAACAGCCCCGGGTCTCCGCTGCCGCTCCCCGCATTTTCTGGACAGGGTCTCGCAGGAAGGAATCCCCTCTCCAAGGGAGCCGTGCTCTTCAAAACAAGTCTGGGGAGGTCCTTTGCAGGTGGCCAGTGGTAGCCTCCTGCAAAGGACTTCCCCACGTTTGCTTTACAGAAATCTCTGCGCGGCAGATAGAAACTGCTGCGCGGGGTTTTCTTGCAACGTGCACGGCCGCGCAGCCGTGCACCTTAGAGGGAACAGTGTCTGGTACCCATCACTGCTTTGCACCTAAGAAATAGGCAATGGTTGATCTTCCAGATGCTGATAAATGGTTGATCTTCCAGATGTTCCCAGTAGCCCTAGTCAAAATGAATAATGGCGGAGAAATGATGGATACCCTACATAGGGCTATGGGTTGCAAATATTTGGTGTACATTGAGAATAGCAGTGGGCATGACCTGTGAAAGTGGTGAAAAATAATTCTGATCAGCCCATTCCCTAGTGAATGGAACACTAGTAGTTCTTGGTTTATTTAAGAATCTCTCTCTTAAGCATACTGATAGATATCTAGCATCTTTAGTACCAGGAATTGAAATTGCAGCAGTGAGACATGAGAATAGAAATTCAAGAGTCTTTTGTAGCTCTAATGTGTTTCTGTAGTGTTTATCACTTCCTATTTTTCCATTCTTTTGCACTTGCAGTTCAGAGTTATTGTATGCATGAGAGGGCAAAAACAGCTTAGTGCTTGGGTTCACATTAAGACATAATAACATTTATTTGTTTGGGCATAACATATTGTGCGAATACTGCAGCTGTGTTTGGCTGAACTGGATTTCTCGTTTATTGTGCACTCAGCCAACAGAAAGAATTGGGTTTTTGCTATGCTATACAATTTTCCTCAGGACTTCATTTAGAAAGGAATCCAAAGCAGATGCACGTGCCCTTTTCTGAGGCTAAGGTTAAAGAATTTGTGTCATAATAATAATAAGACTTCCTTTTGAAATTTACTTGTACTTTACTTTTTATCTTGCCACTGCAGGCTATCTTTCCAGCATGTGTGTTACCATCAAAGATATCACCTCTGATAGAAAAAATTAGTGATCAGAAGGACTTCAAGAAGCTGTTGAGAACACGAAATAATGTGTTGGTGCTATATTCCAAATCTGGTAAGTGTTCTTCAGTTTAAAAACATTTTAAGGGTAATTAGTATTTAAACGAACATGCTAAGCCTAGATGAGAAGATAGGAAAAGCAGGAAAATGTTTCAAAATCGAGATTTTGCACAACACTTCTACAGGGTCTGCTTTAGAAACTAAAACTTGCGAATAACATTTAGAGTGAGTTTAAATCAATAATCAATTCTTCTCTGCTTACTTGATCTGTCTCATAATGTTGTCAAATTACTTCTTATTTTATTGTTATATCTATAGCAGTTCTCTTTAAAAAATATCTGCACAAAGTATGCAACCAATAACTATAGAGATAGTTTTTTAATGTATTTACAGCTATTTTATATTGAGGCACTTTTCCTATCATTTTGCTTGGTTTTTCCAGAAACAGATAGTTGCTTTTTTTTTTTTTTTTTTTTATTGCTGTATTTTAACCTGCATTTCCACTATGGTATATGGTTTATGGTATAATCCTTATGTGCATACAACAGATATCTGCTTGCTTTTCTCCTCAGTTTTTATTCATGTATTTATAATCAAATTTCTAGGTCATCCAACTCCAGTGACATGGCTGAGCGTAAAGAACCAATAAAATCAAAATCAACCCCAAAAGATACTGACATCTGCTCACCCCAACAGAAGTAGAAACCCACACACCCCCAAGCATTCTAACCTAAGGTCTAGGGGACAAAAATAATATTTAAAGGCTATTTTAAAAGCTGGTAAGTTGGGAGTCGTGCAAATGTTCAAGGGGATGCTGTTCAAGCAGCAGGTGGGGCAACAGACAAGACCTGTTTCCTGTATCTTGGTAGATGGAATTACTTAATCTTCAAATCCAATAGAGACCCAACTCTCAGTTCTAACAGGACAGTCAGAAACCATAAGAAACACAAAGTCCCTCAAAATAATTAGCCCCTCTGCCTATTTGGCAAACCGGTAACACTTGTTTTAATCCTACACGGTTGTTTGTTTATGCCTATTTATGCATTTTTATTGTCATGTGCTTTGCATTATCTGATGCCTCATCAATTCCTATTAACCTCTTGCCTGCTAGCCACCCACCTGCTGTCTCATTCTGTTATTATGAACTTGCTTAAGCCAGCATTGCTTCTGCTGCTGTTTGTTTTCTTCTTCCACCTCTATCCCCTTTTCTGCAGTGCAGTTTTTCTTCTACTTTTTTAAAATCATCCATAACAGATTGTGAACTGCTCTTGGCAAGATGGTTTGCATGAACCTGGCCCGTTTAGAACACGGGTTAATTACACTTATGTATAATTGTTATGATGTATACTTGGCAAGAAGGTGCATATCTGCCCGTTAGCTCAAACATTAGACCAAATTTAATGACCTGGATGCCTTCTCCTTCACACTTTTTTTTAAGTCAAGGAATAAGAAACTAGCCAAATCATGTGTGCTTTTAACAAATGTGTTATGCACTTAGGCTTCAGACTCCAAATCACAATTTCTGAAGGAATTGCTTTTGAGCTGGGAGTGGGGGAGGGATGGAAGGGACAGCTATATCTGAGTAACTGATTTGAAGATATTTTCCTGCGACAAATTAGCTTCTCTGAATTTCATACTTGTCTGATATTACAATAAATCAGTTAGTGAGCAGCATTTGATTCAACAGCAGAATTTTGTGGAATCCCCAGTAACTGAAAGTAGTGTTTCTCCCTGTTTTTGTGAAAATAAGTTTGGCTTTCTTTCAAATTTGTCTTTATTAATTACAAATAGAAAACAGCAATTGCAGAACTTATATAAAATATAATTGCAGAACTTGAACTGTGACATACTAATATAATTATATTGTAACTGCCAAAACCATTGCATGTGCTAGATTTGATGGTCATGAATTGTGATATGGTTGGTCTGATATCTGACCTATCCAATCATAATCAAGATATCAGATTGCTGAATTTTGGAATAGGAAAACTTTCTTATTATTTCCTCACCTGAAAGTGGTGAAAGTAGCTATCAAACATGATTTACATTGATTGAGCTTGCAAGCTCAAATCAAAGTTGGATTTCTGTACATAAATATGTAGATAAATAGGCTAACAAATAGATATAATAAGTTTGGATTTGAACTAATTTTTTTTAAAAAGTTAAATTAAAAATATACATGTGTACCATGAATAGATTATTCCATGAATAGAACATTAACTTAGGGCCGTCTTGCTCAGATTAAATATGCATGTTCTGATGTATGTACCATATTTTTCGGAGTATAAGATGCACCTTCCCCCCACAAAAAAGAGCATGGAAATGTTGGTGTGTCTTATACACTGAATAGAGCCATTTTTGGCTTCCTGAAGCCCCACCCCCGCATCCCATTTTTGNTGTATGTATGTATGTATGTATGTATGTATGTATGGCAAGGTACAGAGCCATTTCCTGACATCAATGTGGAATCTAAAAACACCTTTTTATGTTTTTTAGTCTACATTAACCATTGACTAAAGAAAAACAGACCATTTCACTGAATAATATATGATTAGTATGGAAGTATTTTTTATTTTTCGGTATAGTGTAGAATATGCATTTTCTCTTTATGTATGTATTGGGAGAATATATAATAAAAATAGGGGCTGCCTGTTAATCATGAGATGACATTAAGGTATAAAATGCAAACCATGTAACCTATATAATTACAAACAGAATGTATAACCAATATATCAGGCAATTGCTTTAAAAGGCATACTGAGCAGAAAATGCAAGTCTTTGTAAAATAAAAAAGGGTTGAAGAGCACACTGAATATAATAATAACAGACCTAACACTTTGGCTCTTATAAAAAGGTTTTCTATAGTTTTGGAGCAGCAGCCAATAATGCCTGCTCTTGCCTCTGATTCAGGATGTTTGGTAACAATAGCAGACAAAAGAGAAATAAGTGGAAGGATAAGGGATAGAAAGAAACAGGTATAGTCTCACCCAGTACTTGCATTATAGATAGAGTGGTCCAACCTCTCTACTGTAGTTTTGATTGCATTTTGTAGCTATTGTAAAAGGATATGTGATATTCAGTAGTTAACACAAAATAATTTTGTGTTATAAAAAAGGAAATAGCATCTCCTGGATTGCTAGTACAAGACTTTTCTCTGAATAATTCCACAGGAATAGGCTTTGGATTTTTTTTTTTAAAAAAAATCAGGATGACTACTGGAGAGGAACCATTTGAATACTTCCTGCCTGCTTGCAGCTATCTGAAGCCTAACAAACAATTTCAGCAGAAACATCTCTGATCTCTCAGAATCTTATCAGATAAATAAGTGGAACTAGTTTTATGTTAATGCAGTCTCACTAAAAACAAGGTATGTCACTAGAAGTCGAAATCATGAAACTGTGTCTCACTTACTTTGGCCATGTCATGTGGGGAAATTCACTGGAGAAAGCAATTATGTTTGGAAGAATTAGCATTAAGAGAAAACCAGCCCATCAAAGAACATGGCGGCTGGATACCATCAAATCTGACACCAGTTGAAAAGCATAGAAAATCCAAAGTAGTGCAAAATTGGAAAGCGTGTAGAGACTCTCCAAGAGTCACACACGATTGAATAGATCAGTGGTTCCCAAACTTGGCAACTTTAAGACTTGTGGACTTCAACTCCCAGAATTCTCCAGCCAGCAGAGCTCCAGAGCTCTGCTGGCTGGAGAATTCTGGGAGTTGAAGTCCACAAGTCTTAAAGTTGCCAAGTTTGGGAACCACTGGAATAGATGATATCATCATCCTCATTATCATCTTCTGACTAAAAAACATAGTTTATAGCAAGGGTTGCTTTTAGGCCTGATTTTGCTGTAGGGACTCTCTGTTAAGAATGATCTTGCCATGATATTCACATTCTGGCAGGTTAGGATTAGGGTTTGGTAGCTCAGTTGTAATCCATGAGATTATTTATTAGAGATCTTTATGAAAGTCAGGAAAAAAACTATGGAGGATGTTTTGTTAATAATTCAAATATTTAATACCGGAAACAGGAACAGCGTATATGAAATACAAAATCGTTTCTTTAAACGCATTGTTCCAAATCAGCCTTACACATTAAGGGGATTTTCTCTGGACATGTGGACTTCATTTACAGAATGCCCAACCAATATGGTTATTCCTAAAAATTATGGGTGCTGAGATCCATAATCTACCTCAGTATTTCTTAACCTTGGCAACTTTCACATAAATGCAATTCAGCTGTGAGACTTCCCCAGCCAGCATGTTGTCAAGATTGAGAAACACTAAGCTAGAGGATACCCAGACTGTAGTCGCAGCAAGTAAAAGAAAAATAGGCAATGTTTTTAGCCAAGAAAGCATGTTCAATCTGTGTGAAGGGGACTTTTAATTTAACAAGCAATCTTTATGTCAGGGTTCCAAGTAACATCCCCAACGAAAGAAGACTCCGAGGCTTGAAGTTCCCCAAAGTTCCATTTTATTAGAGATGTCATATTGGCACATCTGGGAAAACCCGAATATGAAAGCTTCCAGGTTTTCCCCACCCAAATGAAAGTCCAAGACCCTGCCCAGCACCAACATGTCTGTCACATGGCCCAATCAGGCGCCATCCCAACTGGAGATGCCTCCCAGTCATACCCCTCCAGAGGCCGGGCAAGATGTACTTGACTCTCTGAGAAAGGAATGTTTTTATGACTATATACCTCCCATACTCTATATAATCTCCCCTCCCATTCCCTCCCCCCCACATTGAATGTGGCAGGCCTGAAGGCTCAATGCAAAAGATGGCTTCCAGGCCTGACATCTTGTTAGAATTACTCAATGAGCATGGTATGGTGTTGGTGGTACATACAGTACATTCAATAAGTGTGTGTGTGTGTGTGTGTGTGTGTGTGTGTGTGTGTGTGTGTGGCCATTAACAAAATCCTCCCCCCCCCAATATATGTCTTGGTAATGGTAAAGAACTTCGACTCTTAGACATTATGGCAGTCCCCATAATCAGCTGTAGATCTCTAAAAACTTATCATTTACAGCAGAGAAAAGGTATCTTAGTAGCTG